AAGAAGGATTTCAAATATGCTCATAAAAACTTTTGCATTTTGGCAGCTTTTAATAGCTTGCTCCTTGCTTACTTCCAGGTCTAGAAATTTTAATTTTAGCCACGGTAACTTTGTGTTTGGTTCTGATTTTGGAGGGGGCCTGAATGTCTCAGAACCAGAGCCAAGGCACTGAAGGGGACTTTCCTTCTGCTGCATATTGGCTATGACGGCCACGTTTCGTTCAGATCAGGTAAACCAAAAAACATTTCTGCTCCAAGCAAGCTTCCTTTCTGGCATCTCCACCAGATGCTACTAAGTCTGCAGGATATCTGCATAAAGCAGCGTGCAAATTCAGGACAGGATATTTGAACAAAAGGAGAAAGGATTTGATATATCCTGTGCCATGTCCATGGCAATCAGTTGTTCATAACTGGATGGAGGTTTGATCAAAATATAGCTGGGATAGCTGTRTTTGTTGCCAGTGCCAAACTGTGTGGATTTTAGTACTGTGGCAGCGCTTACTCAGCATGTGCAGACGTTTACAAGGTGCATGCAGGTATCTCTCTAACCGCAAAGAGCCCCTCGCCTTGATCATCCTGTGCAAAACTATGAAAAAAGACACTGCAGATATGGAAGCTAGGGAACAAATACCTTCAAAATTTTTCAGTAATATCATGCATGCAAAGGACTAAGTCCATATGTATCACCAGTTCTGGATACACTCCTTAGAAATGCTGCATTTCAATTTAAAAATACAAATACATGCACACACAAAGCCATGGGTAGCTACATGCCAGGCCCTAAATCTCTTATTGGTAACACACTGGATATTAGTGAGATTTCAGCTAGATAGAAGCAGTTTCAAAAGATGAGGAAAAAATGAAAGAAAAAGAAGAAAAAAATCAGAACAAAACAAGAAACCTATTTCACATTTTGGGATGCTATGAAGGAGAAAAAAGAATACTTTTCTTCACAAGTGTTTTTATATAAATTAAAAAAAAAAAGAATGATAAAACCTAAGCTTGTCTGTGAACCAAGATCTTAAAAAAAAAAAAAAAAAAAAAGCTTTTTATAGAAAAAGCTCAGGTGAGAAAATATCAGTTGGAAAGTCAATGTCATTTGATCATTGCCATATTTTCAAAGCAGAGCCTGATACTAATTAATCTCTGCAATCTCTTAATTTAGTAGAATTGTTATCTTCTTTTCACGGGGAAGCTATAAGAGCTCAAGATAAGGGGTACATCCAAACATTCAAATGCATACGTTGAATTTCCTCCAGAATTATGGAGAGAATTTCAAGCCTTTTCTGAAGCAAATAGCCCATGTTGCTTTCCTTTTGATACAAAAGCTTGTCTAAATATGTACRTGTATATATGTACAAACATATACATATATACACACATACATAGACGGAGAAAGAAGAAGTCCAGAGGGATAAAGCAAAAAGTCTATTAATAACAGACTAAGTAGGCTCAATAATGTTTCAGTTATTTTTTAAACACAAAAGTATTGTATTTAATACTTTTGCAGTACAAAGCAGTGAAAAAAATGAAGTGTGAAAATACTAGAATTAAGTATTCTAGAATTGGAACTAAGTCCTAATAGAGAGATGAAAGTTTGAACACCAAGTAGTGCTAACTAAACAAATGCAACAGGCCTGCCTGACTGATCAGTTCGGAGCAGCTCCCGCCAGACCAGGGCAGCAAACAGGGACTATGCAACGGGTTAGAAATAAGCACTGATGGCACAGGAATTTGTTTCCAACTCCTTGGAAACTAAAGAGGCAAAACAGGAGGGAAACGAGCTGCGGACCACTCACGAGATGCACCAGTTTAACAGAATGCACAAGATGGAGTTGAATATAGGGATTCATTTTGGGCCAAGTTGCTTTCCCCATCAAAACAGGCCCGAAGAGAAAACAGAAGTGAAGCGAGCCCCGCACGTCAAACGCGAGAAGTCTCTCACCCCGCACCTGCATATGCTACCAGGCGCCAGCAATAAAATCTGCACGCGCAAGGTAAAGGATGAAAACGCACTGCAGCTCGTCACTGGGAAAAGGCTTGGCACTGCCACAGGAAAGTGTCCTTTCATCCTGCCTGCTGGATCCCTGAAATCTGAAATGATTCAGAGCCCTGCATCCGCTCCAGTCTGTCCCGAGGACTCCAGCTCCTGTCAGCGGGGATCCCCGTGATTCGGGCTTACCCTGTGAGCGGGAGCCCTGGCCTTGGGGGTGGCCACAAAACCCTCGGGGTGAGGCAATCCCAACGGCTTCAAAAGACCCATGTGTTCACCTCTCAGTGACAGCAGGAGTCACAGGGGTTGTCTGCTGAGGAGGGTATGAAGAGCTTGTATCTGCCTGGGTCCCAAGGCTTTAGTGTGGCAAGAAAAGGAAAAAAAAAAATCTAGAAAATAAAGTGGAAGGTGCCGTTAAGTTTTCTAGCCTCTATAATTAAGACAAACTGGATCTCAAATACAGTTTGCATCTGCCTACATATTTTAGAGTCATTAAATATATTTGCACTATAAAAATAGTTTGCTTGGTTTTTCTGCAGTACACAAAATGTCTGTATTCTGAATAAATGAGAGCCATTTTTTAAGACACAAAATGCAAGATTAGCTAAGAAAACACTGTAAATTCTAACTTAGGATGATGATGCCGAGTCTTCTATTCTGAAATTTTGCATTTCAGATGCCATGCAAACAGCTTAAACACTTTACAAGAAATCTCTCCATACTGATAAGAAATAAAGTATCACTAGTRGCAGAGACAGAAAGAGATAACTGTTCTCACTTCAACTTTGAATCATTTTTCTATAGTTAATAAATTATACCCATAAYAGCATTAATAAGTTATGGGAAGGCATCACTGCATTAGTTTGCATTTTTGATGAAGCACTTTATATAGCATTACCTATATCCATGGAAATATGTAAAAGGAGAAACAAACCATCTAAGGAAACGCCTTTAGCCCTCTGCCTTGCTCTTGCGCCCAACCTCAGTTACAGGAGCACCACTATGGACTTCAATAAATTCAAACTTCAACATATTTAACAAAACACAGGCGCTCCTGGCTGAGCCTGCTTTGCACAGGCGATATGCACTGTTAGTCAGGCAAGCATAGGAGGCGTTCAGATGAATTTAGTCAAGTGAAAAGGACACCACCGGCTCAACACGTTTAGGTACTGCCGGTCTCCTCTGAAGCTCTGCAGGTAAATGGGAAGCTCCAAGTGATCAACCACTATGACCAGCTATTTGTTCCAGAAGTTTAGACTAAATATGTACATTTTAGATTTCACATGATTTGGTCTTTATAGAAATGGACCAAAAGAAGCAAAACAAATCCTGTTTTATTTTTTTTGCAAGTCAGCTTCTATGGTGCTGGTAAAGATAAAGGGATGATGAGAGTACTAAGTGTGCTTTAAACAAYAGAAAACTATGCACAGCTTTGAATATCTTCTTTTAGAAACACGAAAGTGCAAAATAGTAAATAGGACAAAATAAGAGTTCTGTCATTCCGCGTTTTGGTTTGGTTTTGGTCTCAGGCACTGTCATGAAGAACCATTACTAGACATGATATCTTGCTGATTAAAAATTTTATATTCATAAAAAAAAAATCTTTTGGATAAGGAAAGAGTCTAAGTGCTAATTGTGGCCAGGAGCAAGGTACTTTTTTAAGTACAGCTCCCCTCAAAACAAACTTCTCTGTTTGCTGCTTCATGACTGCATCGCCTATATACATGCAAGTCGTTATGTGAAACACGATGCCCAAATATAAATAAAATACTCCATCTCTATAAAACGTGCTTACTTGYGAGCATTCATAGACCAAAATGAGAAAATCCCAAATTATCGGCAGCCTCCGTGAGCCAGCAGTGCAAAAGTTCACACGCTCTTACAGCGCAGCGTGACAGGCACATAAAAGATAACTTTGCAGACATATTACTGGAATGGTTTGCAACCAGTGAAAATAATTTTGATTACTTCCACTTCAAAACTTCCTATATTGTAGCCACATCACTGAAAACAATCTAACCATAGGGGAAAAATAGTGAGGGGGAAACAGCCTGCTAATATATCTGCTAGAAAGACAGATGAAGAGAGAAAGTGCAATTCTGTATAGATTAACTGAAGTCTTTCGGAGACAAACACTCCAATATTTGGAGCAGGAGAAATAAAATCCCTATAAAAATAATTCAACTTCCTTAGCTTCCTTTTCCCGCTCCCTACTTCAACCAGCATCACTTATTTGTGAGCTGAATTTCTGCCTTGACTGCACCACAAGGAAATTCATTTTTAAAACCCTAAATATGAAGCCTCCCCTCCCCCCGACATCATTGGGCACTCCTGCATAAACACAAGCAAGTCGCTCCTTCACAGCAATTTAAATGGATGACAAAAAAGAGAATACCACCAAAGCACAAGGAAAGCATCTATTCAATATTTAGCAATGCATAATTTGAGATTTCATTTTTGTTTATATTGTATATTTTGATTAGAACTAATAAATGGCTGATTTTCCTTTGGTTGTTTGCAAAAACAACACATCATCCAAAGAGCTTTATTCTTTATTCCCCTCTCATATAGCATGCCAAAGACTGTCTCATTTTATGAATTAGCATTTAAAACTACTGTAGGTTATCTAACAAGCATTCAGATTCAATAGTACTTTTGACAGCAGTAAGTAAAGAGCTTTTTAACATCTTGAACACATGTGCTTGAAAAAAGTAGTTACATCAAAGCAGTTCAAAGACTGAAGACAAAAACCAGTTAAAATCCAGTTTGCTGCGAGACAATTTTAGTGTGGTGTAAACAATCTCTCACAGCCCCCCTTGGGAAATGCTGTACGACTACGTTCAAAATGAATCAGGCATATTTATAAAGATCATGAAGTGGTCAAACGAATTTGCATTTTTGGCAGATTCGCTCCACAGATACTACTTGCTGCAGTCTGTAGAAATCTCAAATCTCACATCAGCGTTGCCTGTAGTGCTTTATTATTTATTACACGTTATGCTAAGTACCTGTGAAAGGGGACATTCCTTGGCCAATGAACTCTGGTTCATATCCTTCAGTAAGTCCTTCAGAGCATTTCTTACTGTTGTGTGAGACCATTGTTCAGGAGGCAAGTCTTCTAGTTTAGGGCAACTATTTGAAACACAGATTAGAAAAGGGATTATTACAAGATTGCATCCTGCTGCAGAACATTCCTTTAAGACAGACAGATTTCATTTTGCGCATCAAGCAGATGCATCTGGAGATTGCTCTCGGTCTCCTGATTGTTCCGATTAGTTAATTACTTTATACAACACATCTGCTGTATTGATGCATGAATTATACATCAGCTGCATGTGGCGACTATTTTTTCATGTTACTTCTACCTTCCTGCTCTGATGCGCTTGGTAAAACAATTTAAGGTGTAATGCTTTCTCACGACTGATCATGAAAAGCATTAATATATTTACCATTTTTTTCTTTTCTGTTGCTGCAAAATGTAAGAACCTAGACAGCAACAATGAGTGTGAGCAAGTCATTCTTTTACAAAAAAGCACACAGATGGTACTGTTCATGATATGCAAAAATATTTTTCTCTTAAGTAAACTTTATGTAAAATGCCTTCTTGTAATGCATCATTTAATTGACTAAAATGCAATATACTTTTAATGAGATATCCAAAGAAAATCTATGTATCAGAGCTATGAAAGTTTTCTGCAATAGTATGCTGTAAGTTAAAGAAGAATTGCAGCAACTAAAAAGGAATTTAGAAGAGCCTTTGTACTTCRAGCACACAGCACAGGGGGAAATAAACACGAGCAATATTAACCACAAGACCAGACCCGTAACAGATCGTGTCCCAGCCCTGGTGCACAGCTCACCTGTGTAGCTGGATTTTCAGTGTGACCACATGGTACACATCCTGCAGCATGTCTGCTACTGTGGCATCGGGGGCATCCGTCACGTAGGAGAGGGGAACTGGATTCCACTTCCCGACCTGGATTAGCCCTGCGTGGGATTTTGGGATGGAGAAGGGTGAAGGCAGATATGAGAGAGAGGATAGAAAAGAAAAAAAAAGGGAAAAATAGARGGAGGCGAGAGAGAGGAGAAAAACAAACAAACAAAYAATTTACCTGCTAATTCCTAGCAGCAAAGAGAAAAATCTAATTTTAACAATATCACCCTTTTTCCTTTTTTTTTCCCTTCTAACCTCATACTTAAATTTCTCCAGACAAAAGAGCTAGTACCCCCCCTACCATATCCTCCCACCTACACGCCACCAAGGACAGTCTCCATCTACACTGTGAAATTATACAAATGCACTACATTAGAGATTTTTTTAATTATGCATAGAAGCATATTTTCTTAAGTTCCGATGAATTCAATAGGACATGATATAATAATTACTATTCTTCTTAATAAATTATAAAGAGATTTTTGCAACGCAAGGACTTGGTACAAAAAAAAAAAAAAAAACAAGAATTACTTTTCAGTCTATAAAACCATCAGGAACAAAATAAAAGAAACAGAGCTGGATATTCAGTCATAAATGCAAGTTGACTCTCAACAGTCCATCTGCTCAAATATGCTTTACACTTCCTTGTGGATCCTCAGTGGAGCAGATTATTAAGGTCAATAAGCATACTAATGATTCAGTTGAAGTCTTTTTTTTTTTTTTAAATCTACCTCAACATTCCCCATGAACAAAATGGGCACTAACTAAACAAAAATATATAAAGGGAGGGGGAAAGAATACATAGGCACAGAAACGAGCAAGAACTTGAAGAAAAAACAGGCATCATATTCCTGAAATCGGGGCCCCTCCCCCAGCAGGACCCTGCAAGCAAACAGAAATCACTGCACAATTTCCAAATCTTATTTACCTTTTGCTTGGGCAGCAGAGCTGTGAGAATATCCAAGTGAGAGCAATGCCATTTCAATCAGTTGGTTGAAAAGCATATCCTTCCTCACCAACACAAATTCTGCATGCTCCTCCTTAGAATCATACTCAATGGCATTTTCATAATGTTCCACTACACAGAAAACTGGAAGCATACTTCCTATTAAAAAAAAAAAAAAAGAAAAGAAAAAAACATTAACGTATTAAGCTTGAGCTATAGTATTGTAGGTGGGTCTATAAAGCGTTATGTAAATAAAACCTGTACGAACAGGCAGATGAGGTATCAAGAATCATCACAAATATTTGATAAACATATTTCCCGAGTTCTTTTCCCTTGCCTTCCCCCAAACAGAGCATTCTACAAAACACCTATAGATCTATGAAAAGTCTAAATGCAAATTTATCTCACCCGATCGGCTACAGATTAAAGAATTACCTGTCTATTGAAATAACACGGTTGAGGGAAGAGAAGTTGATTCTGTCCTGCCTGATTTGCTGTGAGTAGCATGCAGTATGAGAACCTAAATACATACTGCAGATGTCTTCAGTGTGAGCCATTTTAGTACCATCTACACGATTTTGTGCGTTAACGTTAAAACTTTCACACTTCTGCCAAAAATGTTTAATTACCTGCAACATCACCAGCAAATCACCCTGTGTGTTATATGTGCACTCCAAAAAGAGTGCGCAAGGAAATAAGACAAAAGTTGCACTGATTCATGCTTCATTCATTGAGAGTCCTTGAGCACTATTTACACTYGCATCTTTTAAGAAAGAAAATCATGATTTTTCCTGCAGCGTTACTAAGTGTACCTGCAGTTGGGGCCTCTTTGTAGCCGCACGTACTTTGCGTTCGGCATTTTTGGTACTCAGYGCTATTTTGGTATGCCTGAAAGCAATTATTAATTTCTAATTTTATAATATCTTGAGACAAACTGTTCCTTAYGATGCACAGAATATTAAGCAAACAACTTTTTTTTTTTTTTCTCTCCCTTCTGACAACAGCCAAAAAATTAGCAAGTGACCCAAGCTGTTAAAGGGAGAAAGTCTCTCCTAGCAATCACATTTCTAGACTTTGTGAAAATCCCCCCCGGCCTCCCAGACAGCCACGGATGACGGGACGACCCGAGAGCCGCAGCTCTGGGCCCCGATCCCGTCCCGCTGCGCTCAGCGGCGCAGGTTGGGATCTCTTCCTGGCAGAAAGCAAAAGGGTTAAAAGCAGATGCACAGAGCTGTCTTATGGCAGCCTGCCAGAGGGGTATCGTCTTTAGCATAAATGATGACAAGGGTTATTTTAACAGGGCACCCAGGAACTCCAATTAGTCCCACAATGTTAATGCCTCTATAACCACTGCCCTCTGGACTTACAGAAACCTTCTCACCTGTTAAGGTGCGCAAGACATAACTGTAGTTGGAAGGAAGATTTACTGCTGACAGTAAAGAAATGCTTTAAGACCACGTTCTGCTGATTTGTGCTCTAGCATGTAGCAAGAAATCACAATATATATATAAAAAAATRCCTTTTAAGCATGTATATTTAAACTACATCTGTTCACCAGAGAGCCAATCTCTGGCAAACAAACCCCTTCAGGCTTGCTTGGAAAAGCTCACAAACTCACTCCAGTTTGCCCAATAGGCTCAGCATGAAAGACAAGACTAAAAGCTTGCCAATATTTATGTAGTGCAGCAAGGAGTGGAGGGATTTTTTTGGCCTTTTTTTTCTTTTTTTTTTTTTTTTTTTTTTTTTTTTTTAAAAGCCTAATTTTTTTTTTTTTGGAAGGGGGTGTAAACCAAAGCACAAACAGCCCATGCAAACTGGCCATCTCTTCAATGGTTTTAATTAAGCCACGGAGAGCTTTCCAAAACACACACATGCACACAGCTCACCTGCAGAAAGGTCTCCCCCACCCTCCTCCAAGCTCTCACAGCTCAGGTTCACCCACTACCGTGCGCCCGAAGCAGGGACTCCGCATTTTCACCCAGCTAAATATCGGACGGGGAAGCGTGCCCAGAGCTTCATGCTAACGCACGGTGCCCATGCGCTCGAGAACAGCGAAGGCACGTTTGTTTTCCTCCTTATCTCTCCTACAAAAATCAGGTTATTATGGGACACGGCGCTAACAACGCACAGGTGCTTCGCTCCGTGCCAGCGCGCGGGGCCTGCCGGGGACAGCGTCTCACAAGTTGCAGCAGCCTGAAAAACGCAGCGCTTTGAACAACACGGGAGCAAATTCTGATGCACGGCGTAGATACCAGAGGTGGATCCTGGCAGTGTGACACAGGTATCATCTGACTGCAAATCAAGCTACTAAATCTTTTAGCAAACTGTCACTGGTGTCCTTCTGTTAATGTGAAAAATGTTATACAGGAGAGCACAATCTCAGCTGGCTGATCACTCTTGCTAGCACTTGGCAAGACCTCCAAGTGCAGCAACTTCATAACCTTCTAGTATTAAAGGGGAGAGCATTGGTCAGTGCTCGCTGCTAAAAATACAACATGATTTAAACCTGAAGGCAGTGTTAGAGCTTTTGCTGAAGGTTTACGAGGCTGTGTAAACAGCACGTCTGCCATAAGGAGCAGGGAAGTCTGTAGAATCCTTGTCTAAAACTGTCCTGGCATTAAAGTTTGCTGTGCAAATATCACATAATACCAGAGACAGCTGAAATCTCCTATTTAGGAATTTATGGAACTTATATGTTTGCAGGCGTCAGAAAGTCCTTTTTATATAGCCCCACTGCTTCGGCGTACAATATTAATGCACTCTGTTTGAAAAGCCGTAATAAATTATATTTTTAATGCTCTTACCCTTGCTTTCTTAAGATGCATACATTCTTGGCAAACAATCAATAAATAGGGTAATCATGAGCAGAGGCCAAAGAATTTGCTGAAGTGCTGTTTTTCCATTTTTAATAGATAAAGATCTAACAATACGGACTGCTGTGTCTGTTCATTTTGGGATCAATATATTCTTTGTTTTCGCCAAACCGAGGAAAAAATAAATGATTGTACGATAAATGTTATGCATCAGACACAATGAAATTCCTCTGCCTTCTAACTTTRTGCGTTTAAGACTCTTGGTTGCTTTTTGCACTTTGCTTAGCAAACACAAGAAAAATCTGGATTACAAACATACACCAATTATATAGAGAAGAGTGGAGGCTGTTTTAAAACAAATGCCCAATTACATACGGCATAGTTTGATTTAAATTAACAAGCCTGTAGCTTGTGGTCAGTAAGGCATATATTTTGATAAGCAAGATTTATAGATTATTCTTAGCTAAAAGTATTTTTAAATGCAAAGGAAAAGGCATCCACACAAAAACATCAGTGATTCTAAACGTGCCTTTTCCTTGTGTAAATGTCTAATTACAGCAAACCAGCCACTGAAAAATATGACACCCAAGTTGTTCATTGTTCAATAATGAATTGTACTTAAGAAAATAAACTGCGAAGATTGACATCATAAATGACTTTTCCAATGTGATACCTAAAGATTTACACTCCCTCCTTCGAACCAACTTGCAACTGCTATGGAAATCCTGCTGCCCCTTCCACGCTTGAACCATCATTAAGAGGCAAGGCGAGAGTTTGTTTCGGGGGCTCAGCATCCACTCTTACATATTTTCGCATTCCTCAGCCCAACACATATTCAAGAAATTAATTTATTACAATACTTGTATTTCAATGCAAGAATTTTCTTTAATCAGTACGGATCCCCTTTACCTTAACAAAAATCAGACTCCACCCTGAAAAGCAAGATGCTCCACCCAAGCTTAACATTTCCGAAATGCGATTTATATCAGAGTTGGGAATATATAATATTTTAGAATGGAGATTTAATACTGAAATATAAATGGAGTCTGCAAAAATATGTTTTTCCCCATATATTATAACCCATATTTYTCCAATGCAGAATTATCAAAAGTGTTACCTTTTCTAATATTAGTTTTCATCAGGTGTCCAGAGTGTTTTAAAGGCACTCCTTGCATTTTAGTTCCTGTACTTCCAAGTCTTCCTCTTCCTAATGGGCTCCCATTCTGTTCCAAGCGCGCAATTTTGGCTGGTGGACCCTTCGGATCGCTTACATTGTTAGACATTTCTGAATGTTCTTTCCCCTGAGTTGCCTCGTTCAAATGATCCATACTCAGTCCCGCCTCTAAAGATCACCTGCCATGATTCAAAAAAAAAAAATATATGTTGTACACGTGTGCGCATATGTATACGTACACAGCCTGCACATGTACAGAGATATATATGTATAGCGAGCTCACAAAGAAGAACAGATAACTATTTCGATTAGCCAGATTACTTTTTTAAAAAAGAAAAATTACATATTCTCCAGAACAACCTCATACCCCACTTTATAGAGAGATTGCATCATAATCTGCTATATCTATTTTGAGTCAACCAGAGTACCCCATTGAAGAAAAAAAAAAAAAAAACCCACATCTTTAAAGATATTCTTGCAAATCTGAGACAGACTAAGACTAAAAGAAATGATGATGATTTTCAAGATAAATGCTCCAACACAGCTATTATTACAAATCTCACAGAAAGGCTTGTTATTAATCCTGGAGGCTTTTATTGTTAGGAGGGAAAAAAATAAAATAAAATCTAGTGAAAGCGACCCCAATCTATGTGGTAAAAGAATGGAAGCACAAAATAGAGAGACTGTCAAAACTTTAGATAAGGGAGCAACAGATCTATTAGCAATGTGGAATATCATTCATTTATATTTTTCCCCCATTGAAAATAAAAGTAGGGATAGAATTTAACATTTAACTTTAGTATGCAGCAGCGGGAGGTGGCTGTTTTTGAATTTCCTACCTGATCTTATACAGAGTTTTTCAACTTTGGCAAAGTTTTAGATATGCTTACGTACATTTTAAGATGTTAAGCTTTAAGTGTTAAATGGAGTATTGTTTCTTAAATTAAAATAAATTAGAAAGGAAGAAAGAGAAGGCAGAGTCCCACAAAAGATAATGCCGAAGAACCACAATTTCTACATTTCTTAAATATAAAACAACCCTTGGTGATACAAAGTTAGATACTGGTACAGCTATATAAAACCAAGAGGGGGAAAAAATAAAATAAGAGGAAGTAATTTCAATCGCAAACTAAGAAAAGGTACATGTTAGCATGCTTATATTTCCTCTTTTACAAACTTTTCAAACCTCAGTCCATGAATAACAATTCCAGTTAAATCACTAAAACCTCCCAAATCGAGAACACAACGGAATAAGTTTTGAGGGTTTTTGTCACTCATCAGGATGTATTTTATCAAGCATAAAGGCAATCAGTTGCCGAGAACTGAGTCATCTCTGGGGTTATGTTTTCATTCATCAATATTGCTACCATCGTCAGGTCTTTCATCCTACCTTTCTCTGGCTGCGAAAGGTGCCACTACGCTGGCAATTATGTTCTGTGCACATAATACAATCAGTAAGGACAGGTGACTATAGACATTAATTTATGAACTAGTATATACATCACTGAGAGCAAATATTAATTATTAGGGAAAACTTATTTATTTATGAAGACCGGTAAGAATCTGACAATTGCTACTTTCTTTCAGTTGCCTGGTAATTCAGCACATTTTCTGTACATTTCACAGCAATGCTATTAAAACCTAAACATCTTGGGATTTTTCACGTGCTCTGTATCATTGGCATATATGCCAGCGACAATTCTCTAAACTATTTTTTTTCCTGTTTGAACACAGTGCTGCTTTGCCCGACATGGTAAAGAAAGAGGCAATATATTAATCTCAACATTTACAAACTTAAGAACGCCTCCGAATCACTAAAGTTTAGAAAATCATTATTTATCCTTGTGCTTTAAGGTGACATGCTAAGGGTTACCATTAATCTTGGTCCCATCTGTTTTCGGTCCTGTGTCTCATTAACGGTAAATGTGCCTTATTTAGCCACTTTTTAAAGAGATTATTCTCATTTTACTGTGTTAACAGCAGCCTAACCACAGAATTACAGACTCAAATCATTGACATCTTCCGAGGTTTCTGATGATGCTCGTATAACACGGGGCTGCTTTTCTGAAACTGGCCTCTCAAGAATAAGAAGATTAATTAACAACCACGAAAAAAGAAAAAAGAAAAAAAAGAAAACCTTGAATAAGATTTTTTTTTTGTTACTTTTGGCAACTTCGGAAGTACTCCAATGCACCAAGGTTCTTGCTACAGAAAGTATCTAGTCATCATGAGTCAGAATAGCACTACATCATGTACAGTGAATAAAAGTGATAGATCGCAATTTAGTTAATACACCAAGCACCACCAAAACACCAAATGGGTCATTTTAGCTTGGCCTTAGAATACCCTCCCATCGGCACCTTTTAACCGCTTAGTCATCTTGTAAAAAGCTTTATGTTACAAAGCAAAATTACATGCACATAAAACACCTAATTTACTCATTTAAACTCCATGCCCAAGGCTAAAGTTCAGCGAAACCTCAGCCTGGAATCGCGCTGAGCAAACGCGCAGCCCGGCCTGCCCAAGGAGGCACTCGCAGGGCAGCGCTCTCATCCTCCCCGCACATCCCAGGCCAAGAGTTTCCCGGGCTCCCTCCGCATCGAGGCATCCTCCGCAACTGCGAGTTCCCGTTCCCGGCGTTCGCACGCTTTGCAGGGCACGGCTTTCCCGAACGCCAGCGAACACCTACGGACGCACCGCGCAATTTCTCAATGAGCTTCGGCGCCGCTGGCGGCAGGCACCGCCGCCGGGGCTATATCGCATTATTTCTTTCTCCCCCCCGCTCCGGATTCAGCCCCCTCCCCGTCCCTTTCCCCTCCTCTTCCCTCCCTCCCCCATAAAAACCCCCGTAATCACATTTTGAGAGCGGCTCCGCACTTATCCGTTCCATATGGCTCTCGCAATCCAGGCCAAGCTTTCCCTGTGACCTTTTAAAGAGACAAAGAAGCAAAGTACTTATCTAGAAACAGAAACACTGCAGTTTTCGGAGTGAAATTAGCAAAACCGACCCGAAACTCACCACTTCAAAACTTGACAGCACATAAATAACAAAAACAAAGGAGGGTTCCTTTGCAGCCCGGGCTCTTGAAGAGGAAGAAGTTCAAGACTGATGTTTTCTAGGTGCCCCCCCCCTTTTTTTGGCGGCGAGGGGGGGGGTGCCGGGGGAAGGGGGGGGCAGCAGACCTGAGGACTACTTCCCCTAATATTCTCTTATTTCTCTCTTTTTTTCTTGTTGCTATTTCCCTCTAGGCGGGGAGGGGCAAAAATAGATAGCGAGAAACAGAGTAGCCATGAGCAAAAAAGGCAATGGACAAAAAAAAAAAAATAATATATATATTATATATCTTTTGCGAGAGCCAGGTTATCAAGGTTTAGCAACAGAGGAGGCAAGCAAAGATCAAATGACCGGACAAGTGTAACGCTAAAAAATAATAATAAAAAAAAGCATAAATAAAAAAAGTAGCAGGTTTAAATTGAGGTGGAGGGTGACTTAAGTCTAGCTAGGCTTTCAAAAATAAAATCAGTGCGACCAGGAGCAAGTGAGAAAGGGGGGTATTAAAAAAAAAAAAAAAAAAAAGAAAGAAAGATAAAAAAATAAAGCAGCAGCTTTTCTATCCAGTGTGAGGAGCAGAAAGTCTACTTCTAGGTTGTCACACTATTATTCTCCAATAGGCACCCAGAGGAGCAGCACACACAGAAGGAGCTCGCTCCCCTCCCCCTCCGCAAAAATACACCCCGTAACAACCCCCAAACTTTCTGCGGAAACCTCAGCCCCAGAGATCGCTACTGGAGATTTAAAAGA